GCTGACGGAAGGGATTTGTCTCCTAACTCGGTGAAAGCATACCATTGATTGAGATGGGCTATCTGGCTTCTGATGTGAAATTTGACCGATTTGACCGTCAGTTTATCTCTCGAGCGATACGCCCTTTCTTTCAGCCTCCGTAATCATTTCAGTCTATCGGAGATGAAGCGGTTGGGCTGTAAGTGAATCCTTTTTGAGGGCAGCACACATCATGACAATAGTTGAGATAATTGGTAGGGTTCTCACAGAAGGCTGAAATATCAAGATCGAACAGTAGTTGTTGTAACTCCGTACCGCCAACCATGAATTTTAACTCCATCAAATTGGTCAGATGATTTTGTCGCAACCGTACCTTACGTACATCATTCTTCATCAGGATTTGTTGCTTGCATTTACCATATATTGTAGGTAAAACTTTAATCAGACAGCGTTTGGAATTGCCTACTGGTGCACGTTTGAAGGCACGGAAAAAACATGGTCCAAGGAGGCATCATTTCGAGTGGAAAAAGTAACAATGTTCTGAAGGGACATAGGTGTATAAAAACTCACATGAGATCTGGTGAAATCGCCATCAACGATGAATACAGATGTGACAGATTTCTCCAACATGATTGAATAGAATACGTCCAGGAAGGTCGACAACTCACTAGGAGTACAGTCAGGAGTGATGTGTAGGTTTGAAAAGATGATGGAAGAGTGACGCAGGAGAAAACGTGGTTTGCATTCTACAGAAATACAAGTAATGTTTTGTGTGCAGTGAGTGAACATGTATTTGGTGGAGTTACACCACACTCGGCGCACATAAGTGATGACGCCTCCACTTTTAGTGTTGTTTCCTGGAGGTCTACTCCTCGAAATAATTGGAAGCCTAAACCAATTTGTCCTCGACAGATGCTTGTAACCAATATTCTTGAAAAAGTGGCACACAACTTTCGGAGTACTCTCTGTAGTGAATCAGAAGACTGATATCCGATAGCTTAGAAAGAATTGAGCAGAAATTCGACGACAAAATGATCGGAAAACCAATGTTCTTCAGGTTTCGGTGCTCAAGTGCAACTAACCATTCAGCGCGATGTTTTCTCCGTTTGCCAGGCGAATTTCTGTTGATCCTGTTAACGTTATTTCTCAAAAAGAAGAACGAGAAAAAGCACATAAGGACATTTCGTTGATATAGTCTCGTATGGAAATTAGACTGAGCGCGTTGTAGGTTATCATTGAGGTCACCTTAATTGATACAAAAGTGAATTCAGAGGTGGTATGTGATGAAATAACTAAAGCTCCAGCGCAACAAAAAATTACACGGTCAATTTCAAAAGCCCCGCCACATGCACAAAATATTTATATATATATATATATATTATAGGATTCACGCTAGAAATGGAAGCTTCCGAAGGGTTGGCGTTCCTCGATGTTTTACTCCCCCGGCCTGAAAACGGGTCCCCTCGACGTAGCATTCATCGAAAGCAGACTTGGACAGGACAGTACACAATATTTTGTACCCCTATAGCGAAAGAGGGCATTGGTTCGATGTATGTAAAACAGGACAAGGCGAATATGCTCGCCTGATACATGCGAGGAAGAGCTGAGAAAAATTAGGAAGACTTTCATAGAAAATGGATATCCGGATAAGATCATTCAACAATGTATGAAGGTTACCACGAAAGTGCAACCTGAGATGATGGCTAAGAAGAAACCTGTTTACGTGTCCATTCCATTTAAGGGCGACACATTATCTGAAATGATAAGTAAGCGCCTCCAGACTGCTGTCAGCAACACTTACTATGCCGCTGATTTACGCATCATTTACACTTCCAAACCAGTTCTCTCATTGCAGATGAAGGACAAGCTACCGGTGGAAATGACCTCATTTCGCAGGTACCAATTCGTGTGTTCCTGTGGTATCACTTACATTGGTCGTAGCACCCGCCGCTTGACTGAACGCATTCGAGAACACCACCCCAGCTGGCTTAGTCGTGGATTGACGAAACCCAGCGATCACGGCTCATTTTCTTCGAAACCGAGCATCGTGTCGGAATGAGTGAAGCGGTCAGGCCCATCTACACGATCACCGGGGTGAGATCGATGCAGGTCAAGCACCGCTTACTGTCAACAGCCGAAGCGATCGCAATTCGGTTGAACAACCCCCCC